ACACTGGGAACACCCGTGAGGCACATACGTGCAGGCAAAACATTCTTACACATAAAATTCAGTAAATAAATCTTTTAAAAAACGTTTAGCCGGGCGGTGGTGGTGCAAGCCTTTAATCCCAGCACTTGGGAGGCAGAGGCAGGCGGATTTCTGAGTTCGAGGCAAGCCTGGTCTATAGAGTGAGTTCCAGGACAGCCAGGGCTACACAGAGAAACCCTGTCTCGAAAGAAAAAAAAAAGTTTAAATACTCATTTGGGCTGGGCATGGTGGTGTACTTACTTAATTCCCAGCACTAGGGAGGCAGATGGAGGTGAGGCCCTGTGAGGTCCAGGTTAGCCAGAGGCACAAAGTGAGGCCTTTGTGACAGAGACAAACACATACATACATACATACATACATACATACATACATTCATACATACATAAAATTCGATAGTGGAAATGTTATTATAGTGATGTTCAGAATTCAGTGTTAAGATCAGTGTTTAGAATTCAGTGGTAAAATCAGACTGAAACCATTTAAAGCAGATGAAATACAATTTATGGTCTCATTACTGGTTTTTTGGGTTTTTTTGTTTTTTGGGTTTTTTTTGGTGGTTAAACTGCTATGGTCTTAGTTGTCACATATGTTATAGGTACTAGGTTTTCCAATCAAGCAATACATGTTCCCTTTAGCAATTTGTGGTTAATTAATTTTAGCATTTAAATTTAAATAATTATATACTTGAAGCATACAAGTATATTCAATATAGTTTCTCAATCTTCCATATGTACAGTTTTTTATTACATTTCTTTATCTGTGTGACAGCATGTGCAGACCATGACGTGCATGTAGAGGTTACAGGACAATTCTCTTGTCACCTTGTGGGTCCTCAGGCTCAAATTCTGGTTGTTAGTCTTGGCAGCAAGCACCTTTAGCCACTGAGCCATCTCGCCAGCCCCTATCAGTTTGTAAACTTTCAATTCTGTTAGTTACCTTAAGCATAAAATTGCTCAGAGCCTCTTTAGATTAGAGCCAGCAAAGAATTGCCAATTAATGTTTCAATTAGGCTAAAAAGTTCAGTAACTCTTTTCAGTATTTTTCCTTTGTTTTTCTTCTTTGTCTAGAATTATTTGTGTTAAGTTCTAAGTAGCATCTTTCTTGTTCTTTGATTTTTTTTTTTTTTTTTTTTTTAAACATAATCTTTCTGTGTTTATTTTCTTTTTTTGTTTTGTTTTTCGAGACAGGGTTTCTCTGTATAGCCCTGGCTGTCCTGGAACTCACTCTGTAGACCAGGCTGGCCTCGAACTCAGAAATCCGCCTGCCTCTGCCTCCCAAGTGCTGGGATTAAAGGCGTGTGCCACCACTGCCCGGCTTGTTCTTTGATTCTTTTTTGTTGTTGTTGATTTTTGTTTGTTTTTCTGAGACAGGGTATCTCAGTGTATCCTTGGCTGTCCTGGAACTCACTCTGTCCATCAGACTAGTCTCAAACTCTGAGACCTGTCTGCTTCCTCCTCTCTGGTGCTGGGAATAAAGGAGTGTGCCAGTATGCCCAGCTTAAGATAGCATCTTGAAATCTGGGGTTTAGGGCTGGGGTTTATCTTAGAAAGTTTCCTCAAAATACTCCAGCCTGTAGACTACCCTCTATCGTAATATGGAACTTCCAAGGTGGACTGACTTGTATGGCAGATGTGTAGCTATCCATGACTTAATAAAAGTCATCCCAGAAGCTCTTGGTTTGTCCCCTGATGGCATATGCAGCAGTAGCCGTATCCTTGGGGCTGCATTTGCTCCTGCGGCTTACTGTGACTTGAGCCACTTTAGTTCAGTAGTGCATGTGGGCGGAGCCTGTGCCACTGCCCGAGTTTCAGAGCTTTTCCAGTCTCCAGCAGCTAGAGGCTTAGCTTGCAGTGTAGCATGCAGGCTGATTTCTCATTAATGTTCTCATTAAGAGTCATCATTCTAGCTGGGCACACCCGTACTCTTAATGGGATACAAGAGTCGGGAGGATTAACAGTTTAAGGTCATAGTAAGTTCGAAACCAGCCTGGGATACATGAGATCTTATCTCAGAATAAAAGTTGTTCTGCTAGATATCATGATATGTGTCTATTATCCAGTCACTTTGGCGCAGAGGCAGGAGGATTGCCAAGCTTTGGAGGTCAGTGCAGGCTACATAGTTCTATGACTAGCTGGGGTACAGAATGGGACCTTACCGCAAAAATCCCCAACCCAGACCTAAAAGCATCAAGCTGCCTTGAGGAGGCTTTAACTGTGTTTCTAAAACACTCCCTTTCAGCAAGGTCGACCTGGCTTTGACATCCGACGGCAGGACAATAGTGTGCTACCACCCATCCGTGGACATCCCCTACGAACACACCAAAGTACGTACAGTGGTCTGTTGGATAGCCTGCATTTGTTTTGGGTCTTTTAGCTTTTCTAGTGAACTGTTTTGATTTTTCCTCTTAGTTTTTATCTTCTTTCCTAAAAACTTTCTTAGTATACAAGGGAACTATTTAAGGGGAATTAGGATATAATTTTTCTGACCTAAGAGATTTGATGAAAACTAGGCTTTGTAACAGAGACCCGTAATCCCGACCACTCAGCTTGAAGCAGAAGGATTTCAAATTCATCTTAGCAAGACCTTGTTTAAAACTTAAAAATCTAGGAGATTGGTAGAGCACTCATCAAGTATTTGTAAGGCTTTGGGTTGAATCCCCAGAATCACACTTACGCACAAAATAATCCTGTAAAATATATTATATATCCAATACTGCTATATATCATGCAAGACTTGTATTTTAGAGTAGTGTTTTATAGCTTTTGTGCTATTGATTCTGATAATCTTTTTGACTTTTAAGAGTCCATTCATTAGTGTGTGAGCATGTACATGCTTTATGTGGAAGTTAGAGGATAACTTTTGGGAGTCGGTTATCTCCAGCCACCAAGTGGGTCGCAGGAATTGAATCAAGTTCTTAGGCCAGGGCCAAATGTGCTTTCCTGCTGGACCATTGCAAAGACCCAAATAGTGGCCCCATGGGTTCATATATTTGAATACTCAGTCATTAGGGAGTGGCACTACTTGAGAGAGATTATTAGGGGCCGTGGTCTTGTTGAAGGAAGTCACTGGAGGTGAGCTTTGAGGTTTGTCTTTCTCTTCCTGTTGCCTTTGAGTCTGGATGTAGAACCCTCAGCTCTTTCTCTAGCTGCTACCTGCATATTGCCATCCTTCCCGCCATGATGATAATGGTCTAACCCTCTGAAACTGTAAGCCAGCTCCAATTGCTTTCCCTTGTAAGAGCTGCCATGCATTGGGGTCTCTTCACAGCAATATAACAGTGATGGAGGGACATGGCATGAGTGTGGAGGCCACAGGAGAACTTGTAGACACAGTTCTCTCTCTCTGTCCTCATGTGGCCCCCAGGGATCGAACCAAGCTCTCGGGCTTTCTCAGCGAGCTCTTTTATCTACCGGTGTCTTGCTGACCCCAAGCATCTTCTTTTTAATATTTACAAGGATTGGTTTCTGTTTTTTATTTAAAGTGGGGAAGTCTAGCAGGCTGTGGTGGCATGCACCTTTAATCCTATTATTTAAGAGGCAGAGGCAGCGGATATATGTGAGCTTGAGGCCAGCCTGGTCTACAGAGCGTGTTAGAGGACAGCCAGGGCTACACAGACAAACCCTGTCTCGAAAAACAACAAATAGTTGGTAAGCCTCTTGAGGCAAAGTCTCACTGTAGCCTATCCTAGAACTCATTCTGTAACTGAGAGTGTCCTTAAGTTAACGACAGTCGTCTGCCTCAGCCTCCCCAGTGTTGCGATTATAGGTGAGTGCCCACATGCCTGCCTTAAAACATTTGACTATCAAAACCTAAAGGAGAAAGCTCTTATTTAAGGTCAGCCAAGTAGCAGCAGGGGTGTTTGCCGCACCAGTTCTTCCTCACAGGAGTCAGTAACAAGGGCGGCTGTAGCTCAGGTGTGTGATTGTAGTGGACTTTGTGCAGGGTTGTGGCTTCAAGTGAGCCTCCGCTAGTTCTGCTGTCAGATGTATGTATGCGAGAGCATCTCAGAGCTCCCAGCTTTATTTACAGATACTTTTGTTGTAGCTACATTTTGATTCTGACAGCTCTTACAGCTCTAATGCTATGTTTGCTAGACCCTTTCAAGGGATAGTCATTTACAGTGACTAATAGTCAGCTTTATATCAGAGTCAGTCTTTCAGATTTTGAATTGTCTAAGGAGTACTTCTTTAAAATATACTTGTAGCACTTGTATTCTGTACAGGTGGGGGCCTTAAGGGAAATGTCAGTAACGACCATCTATTGGAATCTTTAAGAATTTGAGGACCATCAAGCACATGTTACCATTCGCTTGATCTGCGTCAACCCCGATGAGATAGATGTTACTCCTGATTTCACAGAAGGGGAAGTAAGGGTTTAGCTGCAGGACCCAAGACCAAGACAGCTTTATAAAAGAAATCCCTTAGTGGGGGGCGGGGGGCTTGCATACAGTTTCATAGGGTTAGTCCGTCATGGCAGGGAGCATGGCGGCAGGTAGGCAGGCCTGATACTGGAGCGGTAGCTTAGAATTTATATCTAATCTACAAGCAGAGAGGGAGGCTGGGTCTGGCATGGGCTTTTGAAACCTTAAAGCCCACCTCCAGTGATAGACCTCCTAATCCTTCCCAAACAGTTCCAACTGGGAACCAAACATTCAAATGTGAGCCTATGGTGCCATTCTTACTCAGACTCCCACAGAGGTCTGTCTGTTATATATTCTTCATTGTTCTTTCCTTAATAATATGTAAAGCAAACTGTCACATTGCAAGTTAAAAAAAAATTACATTGGTCCCAGTATATATGCTGGGGAAATAGAAACAAAAATAACAAGTACTTTATCAGTGAGGTAAAATAGTTGAGTAAGAACTTCTATTATTGGAAAATAAACCTAAAGATTTTTTTGTAGGTAGATGAGTCTTTCTGACTTTGAATAACTTAGCTACCTGACTGAGGGTGCTCTGGTAACTTACCCACTGTACGGCAGCGGGGTGAATTGCTGAGGGCAGTCGCTGGTTCATCACAAGACCAGTCAGTTCCCAGCTTACGGTTCTACACTTCATCATTTGTAATTTGCTTATCTTATAGCCCATCCCTCAACCAGATCTTCTCCATAATAATGAGGAAACCCACGAGCACATACTGAAGACCAAGTTAGAAGGAAGGCGCCGGCAGCCGGACCAAGGGGCCATGATAGAACAGCTGAGCAAGGTGTTCTTCACCACAAAGCATCGCTGGTACCCGCTCGGACAGTAAGTTCACGGCGTCCCGCAGTGCAAGTCGCACCGCGCATGCGCATCTCTGCCTTTGCGGTGACAGCTTCTGCCACGGTGGTGTATTTCTCAATCTGCATATCCTGGAGTTAAAGCAAACTAAACTAACACTTTATTTCTATTAATGCAAGAACCTTTCAGAGGTTCTTCTAGTCTGTGCTAGTCCTTTATTACGGCTTTTACATTTTCCTTCCTGATAACTGATCTTACTCTGAGCACCCTATCCGTTCCTTTATTTTAAAGATTTATTTCCTTATCTTACATGTATGAGTGATTTGTGTCTGTGTAAGTATACTACATGTGTGATTGCCCCTGGAGGCCCGAGGAGTCCACCAGATCCCCTGGGACTGGAGCCACCCTGCGACTCCAGGGTCTGTGTCCTCTGCAAGAGCAGCAAGTGCTCTTAACCTCTGAGCCGTCTCCCCAGACACCCTTCATCCATTTCTCACAGATACTTGAGTTATTACCTCCTCCCTCCAATCCTGCAGGGTCTGATTGGTCAGTAAATATTGTCCCTAATTCCTTTAAAAACTATTTGCTGTTCTGTTCATAATGCTCACATAGTAGTATTCTGCTTCCTTCCTTCCTTCTTTCCTTCCTTCCTTCTTTCCTTCCTTCCTTCCTTTCTTTTTGTTTTTCGAGACAGGGTCTTACTATGTAGTCCTGGCTGTCCTGGAACTCACTGTGTAGACCAGGCTGGCCTTGAACTCAGAGATCCGCCTGCCTCTGTCTCCCAGTGCTGAAGGCGCACGCATCACTGCCCGGCACTTTGTGTTATTCTTATCCTCTGCCTGACTGTGGCTTCCATCTTCCTGTTTTGTGTGATTAAGGTAGTCCTCTGTGTGTGTGTGTGTGTGTGCGCGCATTTTTGTGCTAGTGCCAGAGATGAATGCTACATGTCCTCAGTCACCCCTCACCATATTCACTGTTTTCTCCCCTCCCCCCCACACCCTATTTACTTATTTTTAAAGATTTATTTATTTTTATTTTATGTGCACATCTTGCCTACTTACAAGTGTGTGCGCCACATGTGCGCAGTGCCCCAGGAGGTGAGAAGAGGGGACATTGGATCTCCTAGAACTGGAGTTAGAGATGGTTGTAAGCCACCAAGAGGGTGCTGGGAATTGAACCCAGGCCCTCTAGAAGAACTGCCAGTGCTCTTGAGCACTGAGCCATCTCTCCAGTTCTCACTGTATGTTTTGAGACAGGGTCATTCTCTTGAACCTGGGTCTTACTGATTACGTAGATTGATTGGCCAGCATGGCCCTGGGATGCTCCTGCTTTTGCCTCCTCAGTTCTAGGATTACGTGTGCCCACTGCCATGCTGGCTGGCTGGCTTTTTACATAGGTTGCTGGGATTTGAACTCTGGTCTTCATACTTGCACGGAAGACACTTTAATGATTGAACCAGCTCCTAGACCCTTCTATTTACTTGTTTGTTTGCTTGTTTATTTGTTTATCCTCTTTTCTTTTTTTTTTTTTTTTTTTTTTTTTTTTGGTTTTTCGAGACAGGGTTTCTCTGAGTAGCCCTGGCTGTCCTGGAACTCACTCTGTAGACCAGGCTAGCCTCGAACTCTCGAACTCAGAAATCCACCTGCCTCTGCCTCCCAAGTGCTGGGATTAATTATCCTCTTTTCAAATACAATTTTATTACACTTATTTGTTTGTTTGGGGTGGGGGGAAGCATGGGTCAATTGGGGGATAACTTGGGGAGTTGGTGATCACCTTTCATATGGGTTCCTAAGATCAAACTTAGGTCTTAAGGCCAGATGGCAAGTGCCTTTCCCACTAAGGCGTTTCACCACTAACCCTCACCCCATTTAAATAAACACATGTTTCCTTTATTTGCTTAGTTTTTGGTTTTTGAATTGTTGGGAATTGAACCCAGAGCTTTATGAATTAGAGACACTCTTTGAACTCTGAGCTATAGTCCCAATCTCCCCCACCCCCCACCCCCTCAATAAACTCATTTTTTTTTTCTTGCAATGCTGGGGATCAGCCCTAGGGCCCACACATGCTAAGTACTGTGTTCTCCTGTGGAGCTATGCTCCTACTAACCCTGAATCTTCTCTCAGTCTTTCTTTCTTTCTTTCTTTCTTTCTTTCTTTCTTTCTTTCTTTCTTTCTTTCTTTTTTTTTTTTTTCGAGACAGGGTTTCTCTGTATAGCCCTGGCTGTCCTGGAACTCACTCTGTAGACCAGGCTGGCCTCGAACTCAGAAATCCGCCTGCCTCTGCCTCCCAAGTGCTGGGATTAAAGGCGTGCGCCACCACCGCCTGGCCTGTCTTTCTTCTTCCAAACCAAACTGTTTCTGTTTGTTTGTGTGAGCAAGCTCTGTTCTTGCTCTCTTGTGCAATCCAGTGTGCAGCACTGAGCTGACACTGCAGCTGACATGCACACACCCACCGAGCTCCCGAGTATAGTCACAGACTGCTGCAGTGAGGCTCGTTCGGTGCTGGAAACATCCCCTGTTCACAGTTGTTACAGTTGAGGAGGCAGTAGAGTATGAACAGCTAAAAAGCTGTTGTTGAACCTTGAAAGGTGGTTCAGGTATATGTATGAGGAATGGTGACAGCTGCCCAGGCAGGAGGATTAGCTTGTTGGATGAAATATGGAGGAAACAGCAAGTAGCTCTGGTTGCACAGAATGCCGGTGGATCCTCAAATGACCTCCCATAAGTCATATATTTGAGCCCATGGTCCCTGGTTGATGATACTGTGTTGGGAGATCATAAAACCCTCAGAAGATAGGGTCTGTGTGGTAAATGTGGTCAGTGGGTATGGTCCTCTGGGGACTGAAGCCTGGCCCTGCCTGGACTCTTCTCTCTGCTTCTTGATCGTCCTCCAATGGAGAAGTGCCAGGCTCCCACTGTCACAGGCAGGAGCCTCCTGTGGATGTGGGAAGGGTCTATGAGGATTTTATGCTGGGGACTTAGAATGCAGACCTGCATGTCCAACATTTATGCCATAAAACATTTTTAAGGATCCTCTTGAGGAGACAAAGTGACGTAAGGAAAGACCGGACAGAGAGACTTGTTAGGAAGCCATTACAATAATTAGTGAAAGACGTTGACTTTAGCAGGCCAAGATTAAGAAGGGGAAGGGAGGTGTACAGGTGCTTTATGAAGAAAGACAGGCTATGCTTTAAGAACTGTATTAGTAGTAAGTGTGTGACAGGGAACCAGGGACCTGGGGGCGGGAGCGTTGGGGGCATTCGTGACCGGATGTGTTAGTGGGTAGTGGTGCCGTTAGTATGAATAGGGAAGTGAGGAAGATGAAACCATTGTTAATTACACTGACTCTGGAGAGTATAGGCCATCCCTAAGTACCTGAAACTCTGGATCCTGGGGCTCTGTACTGTTTCAGTTTCTCTTCAGGAGATCCTTTCTCCCCGTCCTTCAGTGTGGCAGGGTTCCTATGGTTACTACTTCATACTCCCTTTCTCGGTGATGTTGAGCCTGCCATTGTTTTTATTAGAGGATATGTATGTGCCCGACTGAGCATGTGGTGCTCAGAGGACAGCTTGCAAGCACTGATGCTCTTCCGCCATTTTGGTCACAGAGATGGAACTATTAAAGTACCTTTACCAGTGGAATCATCTTTCCTACCCAACTCCTAGCTTTTTTGTCTGTAAAGACAAGGTCTCTCTATGTAGCTAGCTCTGGCTTGCCTGTAATGTTCTTTGTACACCAGGTTGGCCCAAACCTTACAGAGATCCACGGGCTTCTGCCTCACAATTAAAAGTGTATGTCACTATGTCCAGCTAAACTCTTGACAGTTTTATTTACAGTCATTGTATGGACAACATACAACCCACTGTGCTATATAGTTTAACACTTCCTCAGTGTCACTGACCTTAAAATATTTTAACCTAGGGGCTGGAGAGCTGGCTCAGTACTTAAGGGCACTGGCTGCTCTTACAGAGGACCTGGGTTGGGTCCCCAGCATCTCCACATGGCAGCTCATGACTGTCTGTAGCTCCAGTTCTAGGGGATCTGATGCCCTCTTCTGCTTCCACAGGTAGCAGGCTATCGTGTGGTGCACAGACATATGTAGGCAAACACAGGCATAAGATAAATACATCTTAATTTTTTAACCCTTTGAGACAGGCTGGCCTAGAATTCAGATCTGCCTGCCTCTCCTCTGCCTCCAGAATGCTGGGATTAAAGGTGCACCATCATCCATTCCCAGGCAAAAGTCTTAAATTGACTTTCCCCAGAGTTTTTGGTTCTCTATAGTAAAACAACCTTTCTTCCCCTCATCTAAAGAAGCCCCTCACTTAACAATCTATAAAAACCGAGGGGGTGGGGTCCTTACTGTGCACTTGCTTTGTTTTGAGACAGGATATTATTACTTTGTAGTCCACACTGACCTGGAACTCCTTTGTAGTCCAGGCATCTCTTGAGCTGGTCACAGTCTTCCTGCTTCAGCCTCTGAATACTTGGATTACAGGCTAAAGGTGATATATTTGTGTATCTTTTCTAAGAAAAAAGAATTAAGAGTTTTTGGCTAACACATGTTGTGGTTATTAATATTCTGGGGTTTTGCTACACTCCCATGTTTCCTTTAAGAATCTATTAGGGGGCCGGGCAGTGGTGGCACACGCCTTTAATCCCAGCATTTGGGAAGCAGAGGCAGGCGGATTTCTGAGTTCGAGGCCAGCCTGGTCTACAGAGTGAGTTCCAGGACATCCAAGGCTACACAGAGAAACCCTATCTCGAAAAACCAAAAAAAAAGAAAGAATCTATTAGCGGTTTCTAGTCCATTTCAGATCATTTAGTTCCCAAATAAAAACACACAAACCTTTAGATTTATAATAAGCTTTAGAGCACGAGAGCTGGGTAGACTCTGCTAGTTTGTCTACTTCCCTGTGGGGATCCCTGAGGTATCACTCACTATGTTCCGCTATGTTCCAGTGGGCCGCTCGTACTCCATCAGGCCAGCCCTCATGGCCACGTGCTCACCATCCACCTCCCCCATGGCAATCTCTTCTCTTCTCCTGCTTGCCTCTCTTCCTTTTTTTTTTTTTTTTCAATCCACTTGGGACTATTGTTTATGCATATTGTTAGATTTTCACCTGTCTTTGTAACTATTAGAGTTCATGAAAGCAAATTAAGAAGCCATCCCATAGCTTTGTATCTTTCATTAGATTCTTAGATGTGCCATACCGGTTAGCTCTGTTTACACTGATGCTGGAGATTGAACCTGGGCCCTCAGGCTTGCAAGGCAAACACTTTCCCGACTGAGCTATCTTCCCAGCCTTTTCCTAGCACATTATCCAGAAACTTGAATTCCAGCCTATTTTTCAGCATCCTTCCTGGCTTTTGTTACATGCTGCTTTCCTGTGCATTCAGATCGCTTTAATCTTTTGTAAACATTGTTCATAACCAAGTCACTGAAGTTGTGAAAATCCCGTCTGTATTTCACTGGAAGGAGAAAGACTAAAGGCAAGGAGACTATTCAGAGTGTGTTATCTAGGATCTTACCTATGTTTAATCTTAATTTACTTTCATCTAATTGCTACTAATTAGCTTTTGACTGCTAATTAATGCAATCTCCTAGTATATCTTTACCCCTCAGGATTGTGAAGCACTTTGAATTATAAGCAGACTTTAATTAGGCGGAATTGATTGTCCCAATACCTCTCCCAATAAAGAGCTCAGCAGAAAACCCCAGATGCTAGTTTGTATGCATAAAGAAAGCCTAGAATTATTGTCCTTTCAGATCATTCAGTACATATTTGCTTAGTATCTGTATGTATACACACACATTGGCATTTGTGCATGATGTCTGTAGGTTCCAAGGATGGAATGAACTCAGGTTGCCAGTCTTGTGTAGCAGACACCTTTACTCACTGATCTGTCTTGTCCACATCTCTATTTTTGATTATTTGTTTTTGAACATCAGTGAACCATTTTTCAAGACTCAAGCAACATATACACTGATTTGTCAGTATTTCACAATTTTTAAGGTAAGCAATCAAAAAAATGGGACTCACTATGATTTAAAAATGAGATATATAATCTTTTTCAATGTTTTTAGAGGTATTACATTGTGCCTTTAAAGGCACAAAGGTACAAAATGGAGATCCCCTTGCTCGCCCCAGTCCCTGCAGGTAAACATAGTAGCCCCTGTGCTGTACCTCTCAGGTCTGTGCTGTTTGAGCTCCAGCATAGCTCCAACAGCTTTGTAGCTGCAGCAGAAGCCCGGGGCTGACTCTCTCCCTCCCGTTGCCCCCTCTAGCCTCTTGCTCAAGTCCTCTGTTGACATGTATGCTGGCTCTTACATGTAGCACTGTAGAGACGTAGGTCCCAGTGACCAGAATGCGCCTGGAGATGCCTCAAGTCCTCTAACTCTTTTGTTTTTCAGAGTTTTCTTAGCAATCCTGTCCTTTGTGTTTATGACTAAAGTCTGAAATCAGCACATCTCTAAAAAGCTTTTTTCTTAAGAAGCCTGCTGGAATCTCAAACAGAGTAACATTTGGTCTCCAGGCCAATTTCAGGCTAGTTGATGCCTTACATAACTAGATATTTATATCTCGGAAAATGATACAGTTTTCCATTTAGTTAAGTCTTTAGAAAAAGGTTTGAGACAGGGTTTCTCTGTGCAGCCCTGGTCTTCCTGGGACTTGCTCTGTAGTCCAGGCTAGCCTCAAACTCAAGAGACCCACCTGCCTCTGCCTCCCGAGTGCTGGGATTAAAGGCATGGGTCAGTACCACTTGGTTAGAAAGTTTTTGTAATGGTGTTTTTTTTTTGGGGGGGGGGGCTTTGGCTTGTTGTTGTTGTTGTTTTTAATTGTTGTTTGCTTGGTTTTGTTTTAATCATTCTGCTCCTTTTTGAGATTATAATAGAATTATACATTTTTACCTTCTGGTCTCCCTCCTTCACCTTCCTCCAAGCCTCTCTTGTTCACACCCTTGTTTTCATTCAAATTCACGACTTTTTCCTTTAATTGTTGTTGCATATATATGATTTATATAAATAGTTATGAATATTCCTAAATATTAAAATAAAGCCTGCTCAGTCCATATAATGTTACTTTATATGTGTGTGTTTTCAAGGCTGAGGTGTCAGGTGTTCTTGAGACAGGTCTTGCTATGTTTCCAAATTAGCCTCAGACTTGTCTTCCCTACCTCACCCTCCTGAGGACGTGAACCCCCAAGTGGACCACTACTCTCAGCTCTGAACTCATTTACAGGTTGCAGTGTATAAATTTATCTCAAATCCTTTCATTGTGATATAAACACTATTGGATTTTTAATTTCAATTTCCAGAAGTCAGTTGGTTTTAGAAATAATTTGTCTGCTGGATATGGTAGCACATGCTTTGTAGACACAGGCTGGCTTCAAACATAGATATCCTCCTGCCTCTGCCTCCCAAGTGCTGGGATCAAAGTGGGCATCATTCTTGGCTCTGAAAGATTTTTGAGCACTGACCTGATTCCACAAGTGGAAAATTCTGTACTTAACTCAGTTTTAAGAGTTACAGCCAAATCACAGCTACACTAAAAATATTATATAAAATTATCTTCAAACTTCAAACAAAATTTCTATAATACATATATGAAATACAAGTGTATTTTTGTGTTTGGACATAATAATCAGAAAACAGACCAGACATTATTTTTGGGAGGTTTGCTATGCCCCTCTTTGCTTTCAAATAACTGCAGGGCATTCTCCGCCCACTTTAGCCCTTATAGCTCCCAAGTAAAAGACACAGAGACCTGGTGTTTTATTAACAAGCTGCTGGCACTAAGCTGGGCAGGTTCTGAGCCATTCTGACCTAACTCAGCTGTTAATAATCCAGGTAAATGCCCTGTTACCTGTCATCTTAGTCTTGTTCTGCTCCATGTGTGCCCTCATGGTGAATCCTGGTGTCTCCACATGCTTTCTCTGTGTCTTTCCTCTCTTCTTTTTCCCCTCTACCTGAGATCTCACTGGGATCTGATGTCCTGCCTCTCCTGTCCTTTCCTGCCCAGTCATAGGCTGATCAGCTTTTTATTAACCAATCAGAAAGGATGGAAAACAATTTTATGTAACATTAAGACTGGAGATGCTTGACCTTGCCAACGTCCATACTGTAACAAGAAGTCTGGGTACAAAATCAGCATCTGTATCTACAGTACACAAGACCAACCCCCAATAGCAGGATGCTCTGTGGTGCTGAGGTCTGAGGAGTGCAGCTCAGATGCCACTGATGTCTGAACTTGCATTAGTTATTATAATTTTCAGTGTACTTCTGATTGCCAAAGAAAGCACAGTAGCTATGTACAATCTCATTTTGATTGCTTGCATTCTTGGTCACATTCTGTATTTTACTGCAAAAATATTAATTCTACTGTAAATTATTGAAACATGATTTTACAGTTCTGTTCAGAGGAAATAATTATATTATCAATACAATTTTTATAGAACATATTTATGATATAGTTTTTTTTTTTTTTTTTGGTTTTTTTCGAGACAGGGTTTCTCTGTGTAGCCCTGGCTGTCCTGGAACTCACTCTGTAGACCAGGCCAGCCTCGAACTCTCAAACTCAGAAATCCGCCTGTCTCTGCCTCCCAAGTGCTGGGATTAAAGGCATGCGCCACCACTGCCTGGCTATGATATAGTTTCTTTAAAGATAAGCATTTGTTTTTAATTTTTGCTTTTAATCCAGGTTGTGAAATTGTCCTTAAGTTCTGAAAGGAGATTTTCCAAATTGTTTAATTGATAGGAAATAATTTTTTTTTGTTTTTTTGTTTTTTGTTTTTTGTTTTTTCGAGACAGGGTTTCTCTGTATAGCCCTGACTGTCCTGGAACTCACTCTATAGACCAGGCTGGCCTCGAACTCAGAAATCTGCCTGCCTCTGCCTCCCAAGTGCTGAGATTAAAGGCATGCACCACTACTGCCCGGCTGGAAATAATTTTCATAAAGGGGGAATGTGGCTTATTACTAAGAAATATCTGAAGTATGCAATAGTGTATAAAGTTTTATTGATTTTTTCAAATAATTCTAACAAAAATAGAAAATAATCATAGAAATTTAAGCTATCTACTTGGAACAACTAATATTGGAATAATCTTACCTCCAATATTTTTTTTCTTCTCAAGGTATCACAGACGTCGTAAGAAACTGAATCCTCCCAAAGACAGGTGACTGCTCTCGATTCTCTGAGCATTGAGGAAGTTTTGCTCTGTGTCTTATTTGCCAGCTGAGAAAATGTACATGGTGTGTTCATTAAGATGGTACATAGGAAAATAATAAAAATACCCTTTTATGTATTCAAGAGTGTATTTCATTTTATTGATTCTGAATTTGAGGGTTTTATTTAAGGAGCCTACTTGATCTTATTTTCCTTTTCAAACATTGAAGTCTTTTTCCCTCTCTCTCTTATTTATTTTGTTTTTTGAGACAGAGTCTCTCTTGCTGTCCTGGAACAAGACCAAGACCCGAGTGGCCTTGAGGTCCACCTGTTTCTACCTCTTTTTATTTTATTTGTTTTTTTAAATTTTGTGTTAAGTACGTGTACACATGAATGCAGTTGTGAGCCACCGGACATGGTGAGTGTAGTAGTGCACACCTTTAATCTTAGTGCCTGGGAGGCAGAGACGGGCAGACCTCCGCGTCTGAGGCCAGCCTACTCTACAGAGGGAGTTCCAGGACAGCCAGAGCTACACAGAGAAACCCTGCCTCTGGGATAAAAAACAAACTGAAAGGAAAAAAACAAACAAACAAGCAAACTGAAGATCAAGGGTGGGGAGAAGGATGTAGAAGGAGAGGAGGAGGAGACAGAAGAAGAGGAAAAGGAATATTTTTTGATGCAGAGTTTTGTTATATGGGCTGTCTCTGCATTCATATGTATGAATACCTTAACATGAGTACTAGGATTGCAGGAATGATCCACCATGCACAGCCCTGTCATTTATTGTCATAAATCCAGTATGATTAACTATTTTTCATCTTCAACGAAACATTGTTAATATGTTAGCATAGTTAAAATGTACACGTTTTTCTTGAGTTTTGTTAAACACACACACACACATCATTTTCACCCTATCTACCCTTAACCCTCTTCATCTCCCTCCCTCTGAACCTCTTCTTCCTAAGTCCCCTTCCTCCTTTCAGGTCTAATTGTGTGGCCCACTGAGACTGACAGGGCTGCTTGCATGGAAACTAGTCAGTGGCTACGCCGCTGATGAATAGTGACTTCCACTCCACCAGCCATCAGTTGCCAACAGTTTTCGGGTAGGGGGTGGCAGCTCATGAGTTCCTCCCTCATGCTGGATGCGATTGTGTGTGTGTGTGTGTGTGTGTGTGCGCGTGTGTGTGCGCGTGCGTGTATGTGTGTGATGCCTCATGCGTATCTGTGTACCACATATATCCCTGGTACTCTTGGAGGCCAGAGGATGGTGTCAGGTTGCCATAGGGAGTTACATATGGTAAGCCACTATATGGGTGCTGGTGTAGGTGTCTACAAAAAAAAAAAAAATAGTTTGCTTACTTTGTGGGTTCTTCTTTCTTCCACTCTTTCAACCTCCTAACACTAGATGGAGAAAAAAGGATAGAGCAGGAAGAAAAGAGATCCCTGGATAAAGTCGGGCTGGAAAGCGGATGGTGTTATCGGTAGACTTAAGTCCTGCTGATTAGGGGTGTCCAGTTCTTTGGGGCAAGTTTGATCTTCTCTGTCAGGATATCTAATTTCTTCTTGTTCTTTGTGCATGACTACTAACAAAACTGTAACCAACAACACACCCTGCCTCTCAGGGTCCTAGCATTTATATACCCTCTGAAAAGTCTCCATAATTCCAAAGCCACACAATCACAAAAACTGTCTGCAGTTGGCAAAATCACAGCCCTGCTAGAGCACGAGGGAAACCGTAGTCAGCGGCTATGGACGGTTTGCAGCAGCCCACATCCCACACCTAGGAGTAAATGAAAAACTTTCTTCTAGTATTTCTTCTTTTTAAACCAAAATTGTCATTACATGCTAGGAATTGAATCTGAATCCTTTGGAAGAGCAGCCAGTGCTCTTAACCATTGAGCCATCTCTCAACCCCCTGCCCCCAAGCTGGAAATTTTGACTGGCTTGGTCTTGTGCAGACAAACACACCTGCTCTGAATCATGAGTGAAATTGGTATGTAAAGTCTAAAAGACTTTATAGCTCTTCTCTTTTGGCTTGTTGCCCATTCTGCAATGTTTCCTGAGCTCTGTCTTCAGAACAACAACAAAACCAAACAAAACCGCACAAAATTGCTTTAGAGCCTGTGCGAACAGCTACAAATCTGTGATGAGAAATCTTCAACCAATTGGCGTTATGGGAATGTTCTCCAATTAATTACTGTGCTCTCTGATCGCATAGCTGCCTTAAGATTTCTGTTTAGTTGGTAAGGAATCTCTAGAAGATTTATTTATGTATTTATGTATTTATTTATTTATTTATTTATTTATTTATTTATTTATTTATGGTTTTTATGTGACACCATAGAATTCATTATTTGTTTTATTGTTTATTTTGTTGTGTGTGAGTCTTTTGTCTACATGTCTGTCTGTGTATGATGTGCGTTCCTGGTTCCTGTGGAGGCCAGAAGGCAGCATGGGACCTCTGAGACTGGAGTTAGGTACAGTTGTGAGCTTACATTGTGGGTGCTGGGAATCGAACCTGGGTCCTCTGGAAGAGCAGGCAGTGCTCTTCTGCTGAGCCAGCTCTCCAGACCCCCAAGAGTAGGTCAGAGGACAACTCGGAAGTTGTTGGTAGTCATCAGACTTGGCAGCAGGCCCTTCCAGAGAGTTGGTAAAGGGTTCTAGTCGCACTAATGTTAAAACATTTGTGTGAATATTATAAAATTGAGTGAAAATAATTTCTTTCTCAAAATCTATTCCTAATCCAGTTTGTGTAGTGAAGGCAATGTCACTGGACATCCAGTGCCATGTGAAGAGTAGCAAATAGGTTGGTTCTTCTCCAGCCGAGTGGAGCAGCGTGGTCTGCATCCTCACTGTCTTCCTCTAGAATTGCATAAAGTTCAGAAGCCATGTCTTGAAGATACATGACCACATCCAGGACTACAGTATTTTCTTCAGAAGGTCGCTTACTAATACCAAGTAGAATATGCCACAGAAGCTTTTGGACATGCAGGCACCTGTTTCGGAATTTTAGCCAATGATGGAGTTTTGCTTGGCGTAGAGAGGTGCAACATTCACAGGCTTCTTGATGAAGTCTTTTTCTGGAAAAATTTATAAACTTAATGAGGACATGACTTGATGTTAGTATTCTGACTAATGAATTAAGGCTTATTGCTCAGAGGTATTTATTACAGTATCAGGAGCCAATTCCATGTGAGCAGTCGTTTGCAGCACGATGATATCAGACAGGCGTACACACAGTTTGGAGGGAAATGTCCCGTTGATGTTTCTTTGTTGTGTATTGGCTGGGGTAAGCACCATGGCTTTCAGCTCTATTAGACTAACCCAAGTGGAAGGCTACGGGGGATGGGAAGCCACGTGCTTTGGAGACAGCAGAGCCGGAGCTGTGTCAGTGTTGAAACCAGACTTCAGAGCAGGAGAAAGGACTCTGAAGTCGGCACTCGCTCTAGCTAGTAAGGTGGTAAGTAAGACAATGGGTGTTAGTAAACTCAGCTGGAAAAGTAGAAATGGCTACCCTAACAAGAGAGAATGGAATGGCAGTGATCGTGATCCTCAGGCAAAAGGAAGCGAAATGATGATCAAAAAACATGAAGAGGGCCGGGAGGTGCTGGCGCACGCCTTTAATCCCAGCACTTGGGAGGCAGAGGCAGGCGGATTTCTGAGTTCGAGGCCAGCCTGGTCTACTGAGTGAGTTCCAGGACAGCCAGGGCTACACAGAGAAACCCTGTCTCGAAAAACAAACAAACAAACAAACAAACAAACAAACATGAAGAGGAAGAATCTAAACCTCAGCGGGAGAAGAAGGAAAAGGAATGGAAAGGATAAATAGACAGAATCGTGGATTTTATAACTCCTTAGAGGCACCAATTCTGTTAGAAGCTGTCCTCACCTTCCACCCTGGAAAAGTTTTCTTGGTTTTGTTCTTTTTAAGTTGCCCATCGGGGAACTAGGACATTACATACTGAATTGGGTCCTTGTCTGTCCAGCTGGATGCTTTACTGTAGTGACAGGCATCTTTATTAGCATCTTAATCTTAACACATAACTTTTTGGAATAAAACTTAGAAAGACTGAAAAAACAGCATAGTGAACAGAAAAGAATGAAAGTTAGTAAATAATTGATAATAATGTGAACCTCTTATCCAAAGGGAACATTTAGGTTCTCTCTCTCTCCCTCTCTTTCTCTCTCTCTCTCTCTCTCTCTCTCTCTCTCTCTCTCTCTCTCTCTTTCTCTCTCTCTTTCTTTATTATATCAAAGAAAGTAATAAGCTTTCTAGAAATACCAACTTTGTTGCTAACTTTAAAACATGATTAGTTTTGTTCAAATTTATACTGAACAAAACTATTTCTGTTTTGTTTGTTTGTTTGGTTGGTTGTTTTTTTGAGACAGGGTTTCTCTGTGTAGCCCTGGCTGTCCTGGAACTCTCTCTGTAGACCAGGCTGGCCTCGAATTCAGAGATCCGCCTGCCTCTGCCTCCCAAGTGCTGGGATTAAAGGCGTGCACCATCACCACCTGGCCAACAAAACTATTTATTTCTATTAAAAAAATTTTATATTGATTTGTATTAAAAGTTTTACAAAGATCAAGATATGTTATAAACATGAAAGAATAAGGCTTGTAAGTAAAATTAAATGATTAAAATGTTTCTGTAGATCTCAGAAGATGGAAAGATCTCCCATGCTCATGGATTGGCCAGATTAATAAAGTAAAAATGGCTATCTTGCTGAAAGTAATCTACAGATTCAATGCAATTCCCATCAAAATTCCAACTCAATTCTTCATAGAGTTAGAAAAAGCAATTTGCATATTCATTTGGAATAACAAAATACCCAGGATAGCAAAAACTATTCTCAACAATAAAAGAACTTCTTGGCCAATCACCATTCCTGACTTCAAGGTGTACTACAAAGCAATAGAGGTAAAAACTATATGGTATTGGTACAGAGACAGGCTGGAAGATCAGTGGAATAGAACTGAAGATCCAGAAATGAACCCACACACCTATGGTCACTTTACCTTTGACAACGGAGCTAAAACCATCCAGTGGAAAAAAGACAGCATTTTCAACAAATGGTGCTGTTTCAACTGGTGGGTCAGCATGTAGAAGAATGCAAATCGATCCATTCTTATCTCCCTATA